CAAAGAAATATGCTGATAGGACAAGACATGGACAGTATAGAGAAACCAATCAATGATGCCTGGAAATGAAGAATTGTTGGAGAGAAGAAAGAATACAAAAAGAGAGATTTCAGAGCAGCAAAGGGTCCCCAGTGGGGGAACCCAAAGCCATCATGGACAGAGGGCACACCACCAACCCATTTCACCCACCCCACTGGGGAGAGGGCACCTCAGCCTGCAACCTTCAGGATGCCAACATTAGACATTCAAAAGAGAACCTTGGGGTGAAGCTTGCATACTGGCCAGACGTACTTTCCCGCTGTGACAGCCCTAGGACTGGTAGATATAGAATTTGTTTGCCTTGCCTATATAATTCTTATCTGCCATCACTGTGTATCAAAAAAATGCGCCTATTATCAAATTGAGAGGTTGTGGTCAGTCTGAGGGCTTGGGTCTGCCTGGAACAAGGTACCTGGGTCATAAATCCAGTGTCAGCAATGATGAAACAATATAATTCTATTCTAAACTCAACCAAGTCCTGCCATAGAGCCATAGGGGGTTTATACACATGCTCTGGGAGTGGCTCCAAGAGGAAAGGAACACTTGGAAACAAAGTGATGAGGAAAGTCAATTCAAATGGAATTCTCCTGAGCAAGTGTTCAGAACATGATCTCATCATCACAAATTCCCTATTCCATCAAAGCAACAAACAGAAGACATCATGGATGCACCCCCACTTAAAACACTGGCAAATGATTGACTATGTCATAGTGTGTGCCCGGGATCATCACAATGTCCATATCACCAGAGCTATGGCCAACACAGATGAAATTCAAAACTCTCGTTGACAAAAAAAGGAGAGCTTTCAAAGCTTGGTAGAATGACATCAGCTCCAAACAGAAGCAAGACATTTATTGTTGCATTAAAGTCAAGACCCAGAAGAAAATTTGAAAGAGAAAGAACAAATGGCAGGAGGACAAAGCAAAAGAGATCCAAAATTTGCTGACAGCTGTGATGTGTGTAATTTTTTCAGCACAACCAAAGCTATCTATGGTCCAGGTACACAAGACACTGTCCCCCTGAGGCCCAAAGATGAAACAACACTCTTTAAAGAGCGCTTTGCAATCAACGCACAGTAGAAGGAACATTTCCAAGAGCTTCTGAACCGAGATTCTGATGTTGAAGGTAATACCATTAAATCCATTTCACAGCACCCTATTAAGGACTACCTTGCAGATCCACCAACTTATTAAGAGGCCTTGGAAGCCATTCACCAGATGAAAAGCAACAAAGCACATGGTCCTGATGGAATACCAGCTGAAATGTATAAGCATGGTGGAAAAAAAAGATCTCACCAACTGCATGCCATTATTCTGAAAATCTGGAAACAGGAACAAACTCCCAGTGACTTAAGAGATGCCAGAATTGTAACCACACTGAAGAAAGAAGATAAATCGGATTGCAGAAGTTACTATGGCACTGCATTCCTGTACATAGCTGGGAAGATCCTTGCCTGCATTCTCCTCAATGGACTCCCATCACCAAGGAAATACTACCTGAGTCCCAATGTGGTTTCAGACTATGTCTCAGAAAATTTTGTTGCTATAAAGTTGCAGGAGAAGTGCCATGTGCAGCACAGAGATCTTCACGTGGCCTTCATTGATCTGACTAAGGCCTTTGATTCAATCAGTAGAGAGGCCCTACATAAGATCTTGATGAGATTTGGAAGTTCACCAAATTGTTACCATCAGACTTATTTATGATGACATGACACCAATCATTCTAAGTAAGGGCTTGGAAATGGATCCCTTCACCATTAGAACTGGAATCAAGGAAGGATGTGTGACTGCACCAACACTTTTTTCATCTATATTGCAGCTATTCCACATCTCAATGTTGATAAACTGCTATCAGGAGCCAGTATCTAGTATCACATAGTCAGGGATCTCTTTAACATCAGTTGGTTACATTCTAAATCCAAGATAACCACCACCTCCTTTACTGATCTTCACTACATTGACAATTGCATCATGTGTGCCCATTCATCTGAAGAGTTCCAGGTCACCCTTGATTGCTTCTGTGAAACAAATAAAATGGTTGGACTCACTGTTAACTTCACAAAAACCAAGATACTCTACCAATCTACCCCAAACCAAGCAGGTGACTCCCCCACATATTACAATTAAGAGGACATCCTTGGTGAGTGTTGAGCATTTCCCTTACTTGGGTAGTCACTTTTCCCCAAAAGTAAACATTGATGATAACAATCAACACCAAATAAAACCTACCAGTGCTGCCTTTGGACATCAGTGAAATCATGTCTTTCATGACCATGACATCAGGACCCAAACCAAACTTCTTGTCTACCAGGCTGTTGCCATCCCTATCCTGTTGTATGAGTGTGAAACCTGGATGATGTATTGGAAACACCTGAAAGCTTTGGAATATTATCATCAGTGATGCTTTTAAAAAATCCTCCATATCACCTAGAAGGACAGAAGAATGAATGCCAGCGTTCTGGCTCAACCAAATACTATCAGCATTGAAGCCATGTTTATATAACACCAGGTCAGGACAGGACATTCTTGACAACCAGCTCTTGAAACAGGTCCTGTAGTCCCAACTCACCAATGGTCACCGCTTTAAAGGTGGGAAAAAGAAGAGATTGAAGGACACCTTGAAGGCCAGTCTGAAGATATTCAATATTAACATCAAAACCTGGGAGACTTGAGCATTGAATCATCCCCAATGGTGTTGTGATGTACAAGGCTGTAACAGGGGCCTTCCTGGGGCCAGTTAGATGTTGGCCTGCCCACCTGTTTTTGGGCCAGCTGCCCACCTCTCTCATCTGCCATACTTTGATGGAAAAATTATTACAATGTTAATCAGGCTGGAGGCTGCCCATTTAAGACCAGATGACTAGGGGTGGGTGATATCCCCAGCTTTGAACCTTCCCTTACACTGGGGCCCATGCCTCACAGGTGGCATCCCAGGCAGCTAAGCTCACCTGTACCCTTCTCCTTCTCTGGCTGTGGTGCCCTCTCTGGGACCTTTGGCTCCCCTTTAGGCCCTAGCCCCAGTCCAAATCCTGAGTCTCTTGCTCTGGGCATCTCTCACGATGGGCCCCCTTCCCCTTTGACCCTGCTTTGGGTCCTGGCCCCAGCATGGACCAGTTTGAGGGTCCATCCAGTCAGGTTTGAGCCGCTTGCCTTCTCTCTCTCACAACTTCACTGGATCAAGTGAGCCTCAGAACTCACAATGATCTCCCAGGTCTGGGCTTCCCCCAGCCAGGACCGTGCAGGGCTGGAAGTTATCAGGCGCCCCCTACCTGTCTTTCACCAGGGAGGTTGGTGGTCCTGGCATTTCCTAGGGCTGCCATGCCACCAGCAGTCCCACCATGCTTCCCTACCCTGGCAGGGTGCAGTTTTAGGTCATGCTGAGGACCTGGGGCTTCCTCCATCCCCATAGCCCTAGCCCATACCTCCAGGTTTTTCCTGGCCCAAGGAGCTCAGCAGGGAGATGTTTTTCCCCTGCTGGCTGATCTCAAACTGTTCTTCTCAGCACAGAGAGCTGAGCATTAAATCATCACCTGCCATCGCCCTGGTCTAGCCCTTAAAGTGGCAAGCACTGACAGTGCCCTGCCACAAAGGCACTGGCCATTTTAAGCAAACTTGCCAGACTATGTGGGCAGACAGATGAGAGACATAAAAGGAAAGAGATGTGACCTGACATCACCAGGATGCACTCCTTCCTCTTGGAACTGTTTGTCATGTCTGTAGTCGAACGTTCAGATCTTAGATCAGCCTCTTCATTCGTCTCCAGACATACTGGACACTTCAGACTTCCTTATCTCCTGAAAGTCTGCCATCCTCATATTGAGGGTCTGCCACTGCAACCGTTTCTCATGCAGGGTGCTATGGCACCCTGGGATGCCTTAAGATCTTTTCAAGGATGCTGTGGG